CACGTTACCGACCGAGCGACTCACCTTACCGACCGCTCCCAACACTTCGAACACTTCGAACCCGATCGATTTTACATTTTACTTTTCGGGGTTATGTGAACCGCGGTGCGTTGACACTTGGTACGATCTTTTTAAAAGACCGAACGTCGGCGGCTATTTGCGATTTTTTAAATTTAACACAGAGCCGCCCTTTCTATGCCACGAGCACGACATTATGTCGCTTCGACCCATGCAGCGCCATCCGTGCCGATGTAATTTTATCCCGGGGAACTTGACTGAGCTCTTAATCGAGGTCTTCCTCGAGACTCCAACCCACATTATGGATAATAGTATAGGGCATAGGAGCGCATGAGCTTTAAAAATTGTAACCAAGTTAATCGTTGGTAAAGGCTAACGGATTGTCGATGATATTTCCTTTGAACCGCATCTCGCGTTAAATCAGTACTCTTACATTCCCTTAAACAGTGACTTAAACAGAAACTCGCTTGAATTTACAACAAATTAAAAATCGACTCCTCGAGATCTGTTATAACGTCAAGTTTCAAAATAAATATTCATACTATTTCTATCAATAATAAGAGATATTGTTTTGCTAAAAATCCATTCACTTTCCTACCAAATTCGCGTCTATAGAAACCTTAACGTTCACTTAAACCAAGCATAATGATTTTCCCGAGATTATTGAAAGCTCTCGTCGACCTTACGTTTAACTTTAACACACATTACTACTATAAAACTACGTACACTCATAATACTAGTGATATAAGGGAAATCGTAGTCGGTATACGCTGTTTGCGACACTCTCCCTCGACATCGATTTTATACGCGCGCTAAAAGTGTTGCGAGTGACTGACCAAGTATCACACTTGCCCACCCACAACGCATGCTGAGAGCAGAAAGGGACGGTCGATAAATATATTTCGTATAATGCGTATGAAGCGAGAATTCAGCGTGCGATATATCATATGCATATATATGTTATATGTACATACACACACGCGCGCGCACGCACACGCGCACGCACACGCACACGCACACGCACACGCACACGCACACATACATGCATACATACGTACGTACGCACATACACACGCGCATACATACGCGCGAGCACACACATATACATACGCACACCTGCATACACACACACACACACACACACACACACACATATATATATATATATATATATATATATATATATTATATATATATATATATATATATATATATATATATATATATATATATAGTGTGTGTGTGTGTGTGTGTGTGTGCGCGCGCGTGTGTGTGTGTGTGCGCGCAAGTGACGCGAGGTTATGGGGAATATACATAGATTATATATACAAGAAATAAATGATGACGAAAGCGAAGAACAAAAGGACGAATATGAATAGAACAAACATAAGAAGATAAAACAAGGAGCGGAACGTGTGTGACTCTTTTTCTGTGAAAAGTAAAAAACTAAAAATAAATGGAAGAACGTTGGAGGATTTAACAAGTTAAATAAAATAAATATGAAGAAATATCGCCACACGCGACAGAGACGATTTTATCCAAACGCTCTGGCGCGGAGCTGTGAATGAATCTCTATCCGTCAACAGTATTGATATAATTAATAGAGTAAATGAAATATAATATTGTAAGAAGAAATCTAGCGTAAGAATGTGTTGTGTAAGCGTTTGTAAGTAAGGGAGTAAAAGTTAAAAAAGAACGAGAGCGTGAGAGAAAATTGAAGAGACAGGCGGACAACGAAAAAGAGAGAGAGAGAGAGAGCGAGAGAGAGAGAGAGCGAGAGAGATAAAGAGATAGAGATAGAGAGAGAGAGAGAGAAAGAGAGAACGAATGAACGAGTGACAACGGAGTGTCTGTGCGTGTGGAGGTTTATGAAATAAAAAGTACGTGGAAAGAACGAAGGGCTAGAATGATGAGGGAGAGAGAATAATTACCATTTTCTCGAGTGCATAATTCAATAGGACCTGAAACGAAAAAGTATTTCTCGTTTTTACTTATTTCACTTAATTTTAATGATAATATTTTTCTGAAACATTTAAAAAAAAAAAAAAAAAAAAAAAAAAAAAAATTATTTTAAGTTTATAGTCCTGATGTAACGTTATAATTATAAGATTTTAAATATTCTGAGCCCCATACTATTAAAACTTTACTTAACCTTCAATAGTGTTTTTATGATGCTTTGTAAAATTATAAAAGAAAACTGGTTATTTTCAATTTCTAATGGCATATGAATATACAATTCTAAATGTCAAACTAAGTTAATTGCTATCTAATTAATCTGAAATGTTTTACTTATCGATGTATTTGTTTAACAAATATTTTCATACAGTAACCTGATAAGAGAACAGATTGACTTGGAGTAGGGATACTTGGAGTACGGTAACCGAAGTGGATGAATTTTTATTCTATTTCTTATAACTACTCTGCCGTAACTATATATTCTGCCGTAACTATTATAAATCAATTGAAATCCATTTTTGAAATGCCTAATGAAATGCCTAATAAAATGCAAGAAAAAAAAACATTTGTTATTTCCTGAAAAATTAAGGGTCGTGTAATTTAATAAGTCGAGAATAATTTAACTATATAGAAAATGGAATAAAATTCCTATTGAATGAATTGAAATTTATTTACTTTTTATTTACATGTTATATCGGTGGCACTATTTTGTCCTGCAATTTCTTTTTTCAAACTCTATATTCTATTAATTAGGATTGAATACTATGATGCTCTTCCTTATTATCTTAAATATTAAATTACATGTTTGCAAAGTCCCGTCCTGCAATGCGATTTCATTAAGGGTGAAGCCTTAGCTTTAAATTATCATAATGAAATGAGAAAGTTAAAGTCTTTTGAAAAAAACGATCTTTCTTATAAATTGGCATTCGTGTGTTCTTTATATTCCATGGAGATTGGTTTTGCTCGCTGAGATATAATCAATAAATGAATTCGTTTCCATTTATATGTCTGATTATTTAAGCAATAATAAACTTTCCCGGCAAATATACATGCGAATTGATGTATCTTGTATCAAATAATCCAAATAATTAGTAATAAGCAATATTAATAATGGAAACTTATCATTTTTGTTTTTATATTGTATTTTAAATATCTTCAAAATCTTAAACAAATTTATAATACAAATTTTTAGCAATGATAAACGAATGAAATAATTTTATTTCCTTGAATTATCAAGTATGAACGTGATTTGCACATATTGATGATAAAATCTTAGAATAGCTTTTAAAGTTTTCCAAGCCTTATTTGGACATATTAAAATTAAAAGTAAAAGTAGACGTTAAATATATTATATTAGGAACATTCATAATGTCCATATGTTCCTCGTTTTTTTTTTGTTTTTGTTTTTATTTTCTTTGTTTTTATTAAGCTTAGTTTTCTATAGATATTCCTGATTATATTTGTTTCTACGCTCATTTATTCATTTTATTCGTGCATGATTTAGTTATTTTACTTTCATGTTGTATCGATTTAATTACTTATCTACCGATTCATTTACTCGGGCATTAATTTAATTCAAAAGCCGAATTTCTATACTTCTTATACTTTGAAAGTTTTAGTAACTTCCTTTGAATTCGTTTATAGATTAGAAATTTTTTTTTTTTTTTTTTTTTTTTTTTTTTTTTTTAAACAATCTTATAAAGAATTTGTAATAAATGATTGTGGATTTCGGGTAATATTAAAAATACAATATTAAAAGTAGCTTTTTATAACAAAATCAATATATAAGTAGAATTGAGTGAAAAATTAATGTTTTTTGTCGTATTTCGAATGCTTAATTATTATTTAAAAATAAAAAATCACTTTATCTAGAATTTGAGATTGAAAGCGTCTTAAATGAAGTGAATAATTACTAAGTAATCGTGATTTTCTCCCTTCTTCTATTACTCAGATGTGAGAATCATAGAAAACGTAAATTGTATAGTGTTGACACATTGTAAATTATTTTATTTGAAATTCTCAAGTATATTGAAAAATATTTTGCATAATTATAAGAGTATTAATATATTGGATGAAAAGCTTTTCCTTTTGAAAATTCGTATACTTTTGTCTTGAATGATTATAAACATGGGTCTTTAATATTATTGTTGCACTCGAAAAGAATGAAAATAAAAATAATAACTCTCTCCTCATCGTAAAACTGTTATTTATTGTAACGGAAACGCCTCGTTCTCAATTAATTACTTGTAAAAAAGATTATACATACGAGCCAATTTAGTTTGTAGTACATATTTGAGATACAAGTGAGGGAATTTTCAAATGGAAGGTCGTCGAATGATGCAGATTTGTTCATATGCTACACAAGAAATCACTGTTTAAAGAAAAATAAAAAAATAAAAAAAATCAAGAAAAATATACATCAAGATTTAGTTGACTTAAGCCATGCGTGAAGAAGCCAGTACAGTCCCACAACGCGATATTTTTGCGTGAAAGTATAAAAACTGTGAAAAAGATGAGCGTAAATGTGTATGTGTTTGATTAAATGTTATGTAAGCGTGAGAGAGATAGAGAGAGATGAGAAAGAAAGTGCAGGAGCGTTACGTGGGTTTTAGGATAAATGATCTATTGACAAATGTTGTATATTATTACGAATTATAATGACACTATTATAATTAATTAATTAATTATTATACCCTAAATAATGTGAATTGAATTTAAACGACAAAAAAAAAATACATGAACGATAAGTAATAGGAAATTTTTAATTGTTAGCGAAGCACACAAGGTCGCATGGCAAATATCGATCTGCTCGAAAATGAAAGACAGAAGCGACAAAAAAAAAATTATAATAAATCTTTGTAACACCAATGCCGATGACGAAAGTTAAACTGTGGAAGATGGACATCGAGCGCCTAAATTATTATTTTTTATTTATTAGGTATTAAAAGAAGTGCATTATCAACGATCATTCGATTTAGAATATTATATAAATCACGTGACGTCATCGACTGTAAATAAATAAGTATAAATTATTTCCTTGTATGTTCTTTTTTTATTCTAGTTTTTTCGTTTTTTAACTTCTTTCTTTTTATCCTTAGCGGTCGAATTGTTGAAAATGCATTTTTTTTTTTTTTTTTTTTTTTTTTATTTTATATATATATATATATAATATAAGTACTGAAAGGATTTATCATGTTGTAAGGCAGATTTAATATAAAGGAATTTTTAGAATGTATAGACTGTGGTGTTCCAAAATTCTTAAGCGTCTCCTAAATTAATCATATTTTGAGCAGTGTATTATTGATTTTTTTTTTTTTTTTTTTTTTTTTTTTTTTTTTTTTTTATTAATTTACCGACTTTCATTGATTTTATATATTTACTAAAAATTACATTAAATGACCATATTTCCTAAAATGTTTATTTATAATATATTTGAAGTTTGGAATTGACTGTGTACCTAGAATCGATTGACAATTTTTATCTTTGAACTGTAAGGATCTTCTACTATCTGGTAAAGGATGAAAAATATGTGTAAGTTTCTTGTTATAGCTCAGGGAATAGCTGGATAATAAGATGTTTTTAAAATTTATTATTGATGTTTAAATCTGAATTTTAAAAGCGAATCTAAGCACGGTAAAGAGCAGGTTGTAAATAAAGCTAAAGCCAAAACAAGTCTAGATTTTATAGAGGAATGACTTGAAAAGTCAATTACTAAGCCTGGAGATCTAGACTTTGAGTTTTGGTTTTATTTTTAAAGCACTTAAAAATGAATTTATGTAGCTTTTAAATAATATCAAATGAATTCGGGAAACGAAGCTCCATGTCTGTAGTCCAAGTTTCTTTGTCAGAGTGTCGGTCGGACGATGATTTTAATAAGAACAATTAATGAGCGACGAATGTGCACCGACATAGTGTATAAAAAAATACTAGCGAAATAGGGGCGATTATTGCGTGCAAGGATATAACATTACCCTTTAAGTGGACATGAGTCAGTTCGGTATATTATATTAATATACATTCAAAGTTGACTCATTGCCATGACCAATAAAGTAATAAGGAAAAAAATTGTCATCTAATTACATTTTTACGCACTCCCCAAAAACAAGTTTTTATCCTTGTCATTTGTATTATAGCAACATGTGTTTAAAAGTCCACCATTATATGTATGTAATCAAAATTGTAACTGAGAAAACGTTAATAAAAAACGATATTCCAAATGCAAGTGTTTGACATTTCTTAACCAGCATATTATTTATTCACTGACAACTATATCCTTATTACACTTATTTCATTTTAATTCGTTATAATCTAAATACTTGAAAAATAAAATTTCTATCTGCCATTTAAGTTTTTTTTTTTTATGTAACAACAGTTAGATAATTTTTTTTTACACTTGCATTCCAAATATCTAAAGTCAATTTGTTCTAAATAAAGGCTTAAAAATTCAAATTTACATCAATCTTGTATTTTTGAAAGATTGTTTCTATCTTAATTATTTTTATTTTTATACTAATGCTTTTTACGCTGATTCACGCTGACTTTAAGGTAAGTATACGATGAATAATTTCTATTTAAGATAAAATATTTGAAACATTTTAATTATTAATGGTGTAAGCTCGTGTAATGTCGCTTCAGAGTTCACATGCAAAGTACTCGTATGATGCTAAATAACATTGAGAGGTTTTTTTAAATCACAATTTTCGCGTTATTTATTTCATTATTATGAATAATGTAGAATAAATGCAATAACGATCATGTAATATACGTAATTTACAAATAAGTTTATAAATACAAATACCCATTTTATAATTATTAAAAATTTATATTAATTCAAAAAATCTACTTCTCAGTATATAAAATCAAAAGATATAAAAAATATAATTATTAGGATATGTTCCTGATGCTCGAGCGATTAAAATTCGATGAATGTAATATAAAATTTCTCTTTAATATTATATTTGCATAAAGATACAGTAATTCCGGCGACCTCACTAATTACCTATTTTAAATTATCGTATCTTAATTTTGGCGAATTTTGTTCTCTGTTTTTTCATCTTTTTTATGCATCGTAAATTATAATTAAACTTCTGTATTAATATCGAATTTTATAGTCATCATATCCCCATTAATTATTAATATTCCATGTTATTGTACATAACTTTTTAAATGCTAAAATAAAAGTCATCCTAGTATCAAGTAATAGTAATAGCCATTGATATTTGTTAAAGTGTTTATTAACATTTTATTTAAAGAAACTTTATATTCAGGAATTTATTTAAAGAAATTTCGGCTTATTTAATGTCAGCTAATTAAGATTATTTATAAATTCTTAATTTTCAAAATTTGAAATCGTTTAGTTCGTAATTTATTAATAATAATAATAATATTATTATATAATCCGAAAAAATTTATCATATAATAGAAAGATAGTAAATTCTAAATTATATACATTTTATTTCAACTAAACGAAAAAAAAAAAATACCTATATATATATATATATATATTTATAGAATGCCATTTAAAAAAAAAAAAATTTTCTGAAACTCAACGAAGAATTACGAAATATTATTATAATATTGTCTTCCGGTATACAGATCTAAAAATGAATATTTAAAGCAAGGAATATTTTTATAAATGTTCGTCCTATGCTTGCGCCGCCGTGTTCGAGTATTTTGTTAAATTGAGTGAGTTCCATCGATGAATTTCAAATACACCGGAAGTCATACGAATTTCATACCAATGGTCGAATTAACTGAATTCTTCGACTGTTTTGACGATGCCATTCGGATAAATGAGCGATCATTATCTCACAAAATAATTAATTACCTGGTCGATGCACGCTCTCTCCATGCCCTCTCAAGCTCAATAATCGTCGGCATTTTCATTCAGCTGTGCGCTTGACTCACGTAGTGCTATGGAACTTTCGCGACGATTCCCGACACTCGGCTTGCCGGCTTATATGCTTTGAACTTGTGGCTCTCGACATCCATTGGCTCGTTCCGTCGGAGCCACGTCACAATTGGCCGGCCCACCGAAGCACGTAGGAGTACATTACAGCGAACTGGGAAGAGGTTGCATCACTACATGTGAATTCTTGGTCGTCGACGTTCGTTTGGTATATTGCCACCGCGTTTCTTCTTTCAGAAGTTTTTCTTGTCGTTTAAAGCCGTGACCAGCGCGAGGAGGACAAAATGCTGACCGCTGCAAGATTGTTTAGCCGCCAAGTTGCCGCGACAACCTGCGACATTGCCAGGAAGCAGCAATTCAGCACCATCCTAAGAAATGTAAGTTTCTTTTCTTTTACATATACAACATTTTTATCGCTAACCTACGAGCGAATTTCATTTCATTAATCGCGGATTCAAGTATTATTCAAGTATTTCGGACGATCACGTTGATTTAACGTTTACGCGACTTTTCCGCGACTGTCTCCGGCCCAACTAACCCGTCTTAACATTATTTAAGCTCCATTTATTCGATTTGATTTTATTTTCATATCTCCCGACCACGTTTTACTTCGAAATTGTCGATTATGTTACCCCGGTGGATGGGTGGGGGGGGGCGCGGAGGGGTGACCCTTTCCTCGACATCCCGTTTTTTTTTCTCCAAAATTCGTCCAAAATTCATCTGAGCCCAGATACCGCGTGATACCTATTGAGTTAGGAAGAGGAAATGTATTCCTTCTTCCATCGCGCCGACACGTGCTAAAGGCTGGGCATTATAGCCTCGTCTTATCGGCTACGGGACAAGAGGCATTTTTGATAATCCACTGTTGCTGCATTTCAAGGAACAAACCATAAAGTAAAGTTTTCGGAGAATGAGACAATGATCGAATGAATTTGGGGTTTCGTCGGTCTCTAACCTGAAATACTGCTAAGGCAATTCTTTCGTCTCGTAACAATTTTTTATTTTTCATGTATTTTCTTTTACGTAACGCGTGAATATCTGTATAGACCGAACGGGGTTTAATGAAGAAAAAAATTACGTGTAATAATTGTAATTGCATTTGAGAATGATGAGGAGGATGATTGGCTAAAGAGAATTTTAAAAACTTATGTAAAGCAATTTTAATGCAATATTTATTAATTAAAAGCCAGTATAGGCTAGTGAGAATTATCATTAACTGATAAATGTTGTAATTTTTTCCTTCGAATTTACCAATGAAGTTTGATGTAGGGACTTATAAGATGTCAGAATTGAAGTTTATAAATTTCAATTATAATTAAACATTCTTCTATTGCTCATAAATATAAGTAATAACATAAATATAAGTAATAAATAATATGTTAACGCTCTTAACATCAATATTAATAACATTATAATTTATTTTAAAGTCAAATGCTGACATTTATTAAAGTTTATTCAATTACTTCTCTTGTAATAATTTATATTTGAAAGTATAATTTATAAGGCAAATTTTATGAAATAACTAGATCTTTTTATATTTAATTTAAACGATAATATTGCTGGCATCTATTTGAAACTGATAACAAAAACAAAACAAAAAAAAAAACAAAACAATAATGAAAGAAAATAACAAAAGATAATAAAAACAGAGAAAAAGAACATCAAAAGATATTGGTTTTATCTTTAAAAGGAAATTTTATTTAAATTTTACACATTTATATTAATATTTCAGGTTGCTGCTGTACCATCGGTTGGTAATCAACAAAATGAACTTCAACAATATCGTTTCAAGTAAGTTCATTGATATAACTTAATTTCAAATATCAATTGATTGATTGGCAAATGGACCAATGATAAAGTTTTGTTACCATAGATTAAGTTCATTTAACATGATTATAACAATATTAAACTTGATTGGTTATGTTAAAATTATACCCAACTATAGCATATATCAAAATGTTATAAATCATTTCTTATTAATTTATTTCTTCAAATAAAATTATCAATGAATTTATATTTAAAAATTTGGTGTTATTTTAATTTTATATCAATAGGTCAGATGGAGTCAAAGGTGCGGTCATTGGTATCGATCTTGGAACAACCTTTTCTTGTGTCGCTGTTATGGAGGGAAAACAACCAAAAGTTATTGAAAATGCAGAAGGATCAAGAACGACACCATCATATGTTGCATTCTCAAAGGGTGTGTAAAACAATTTATTCGAGTTTTTCCGTAGGTTTAAATAAACTTTTTATAAAACTATATATATATCTATATATATATATATATATATATATATATATATATATATATATATAATTTTTTTCTATAGATGGAGAACGCTTAGTCGGAATGCCAGCTAAACGTCAAGCTGTTACAAATTCAGCAAATACCTTTTATGCAACAAAACGTTTAATTGGTAGAAGGTTTGATGACGCGGAAGTAAAGAAAGACTTGTAAGTGTCATGTGTTGTTATTGTAAAAATATTCATAGTAAACGCTTGTGTAGTGTAAAATGATTTTCGTTTAGGAAAATGGTATCTTACAAAATTGTTAAAGCAACAAACGGTGATGCTTGGGTACAAGGAAGCGATGGCAAAATGTACTCGCCGAGTCAAATTGGAGCATTTGTTCTTATGAAAATGAAGGAAACTGCCGAAGGTTACCTAAACACATCGGTGAAGAATGCAGTTGTCACGGTACCAGCATACTTTAATGATTCTCAGAGGCAGGCTACAAAGGACGCTGGCCAAATTGCTGGTTTAAACGTTCTTAGAGTTATTAATGAGCCTACAGCAGCTGCTCTTGCTTATGGAATGGATAAAACTGAAGATAAAATGTAAGAAAATTAATTACTTAACTATTGTTTTTTAGGTCGATGTACGAATTAATCCTAAATTATAATCGTTAAATTTCTATTCAAGTATTGCTGTATACGACTTGGGAGGTGGTACATTTGATATTTCTATATTGGAAATTCAAAAGGGCGTTTTTGAAGTTAAGTCCACCAATGGTGATACATTCTTGGGTGGTGAAGATTTTGATAATGCTTTGGTTAATTATCTCGCACAAGAATTTAGGAAAGATGTAAGTAACGTATTTCTTAGAGAAATGTTCAACTGTCGTATGCTAAGAAATAATTTATTTACGCGGTATGTCGCAATGTCATTAGTATTAATAAGTGTTTTTTTATTAATTTAATATTTGGAATTTCGTGAATAATGAAAGGAATTTCTTCACTTACGTATAACTTACCGTGAATTAATAATTGTATTAATATTAAAGATAATAAATATTTCATAAATAATTGTTTTTTGTTCAAATTACAGCAAGGTATTGATGTAACCAAAGATGCAATGGCAATGCAACGACTCAAGGAAGCTGCTGAAAAAGCTAAGATTGAATTGTCAAGTTCACAACAAACTGATATCAATCTTCCTTATCTCACGATGGATGTCAGTGGACCAAAGCATTTAAATTTGAAGTTATCAAGGAGCAAATTTGAGTCTCTTGTTGGTGATCTCATTAAGCGCACAATACAACCCTGCCAGAAGGCTCTTAGCGATGCAGAGGTATCCAAGTCCGAAATAGGCGATGTACTGCTCGTCGGTGGCATGACGAGAGTACCAAAGGTCCAGCAAACTGTTCAGGAAATATTTGGTCGCCAACCCTCAAGAGCTGTCAATCCTGACGAAGCCGTTGCTGTTGGTGCTGCTGTTCAAGGTGGTGTTTTGGCTGGAGATGTTACAGATGTATTATTACTGGATGTTACTCCACTTTCATTAGGTATTTATTATAGAAATCTATTATTGTTTAATGCTAGAAAGTTATTCGATACGTTAAATGAATAATTTATTCAAATGTTCGTAAACATTTGATGTTCAATAAATTATATATATAACGTTTAAAACAATTGAATACTTTGCATCTTTAAGCTGCAATATATATATATATATATATATATATATATATATATATATATATATATAAATGTTAATATGTTTACCGAGATTCATTAATTAATTATTAGTATTTTATTTTTGCTATTTTTTCACTTTGAAATTTTTTAATCACGAAACTTAACAATGATGTATGACTAATCTTCTCTCTGAAATTACGAGGTTGATAATTGTGAATCTGAGTAAGAAGTAGTGCACATTATTTAAGCATACTATACAAATCAATAATTATTTATTTATTTCATCATTGAATATTAATGGAATATTCTATTATACAGGTATTGAAACTTTGGGTGGAGTGTTTACAAGACTGATTACTCGTAACACAACCATTCCAACAAAGAAAAGCCAAGTATTTTCAACAGCAGCTGATGGTCAAACTCAGGTGGAAATTAAAGTACATCAGGGAGAACGTGAAATGGCCAATGATAATAAACTCTTAGGTCAATTTAGTCTTATTGGAATTCCACCAGCTCCACGAGGAGTTCCACAAATTGAAGTTACATTTGACATTGATGCCAATGGTATTGTACACGTTTCTGCCAGGGACAAGGGTACCGGCAAAGAGCAACAAAGTAAGTTTATTTACCTAAATTTTCTTATTATCGGAATAAATGTAAATAAAAATAATTGATAAAAAAGCAATTAATTGTAATCGAATTTCTATCATGTTAAAAATATTGTTTACTTAAAATGTTATCTAACTGCAAATGATTAATTTTAAATATAACTAATGAATTAACCGAATAGTCGCATCGTAAAAAAATGTGGTTTATTTCATAAAAGAAAAATTTACTATAATGATGCTTGATTTTTCGTCTCATAGAGACACAATTAAATGTGTAAGATGTGCTGATAAAATTAACTGATAAATTTTGAATCGATCAACCATATAGGATATCGTAATTTCTTTATAATAACATGCTGCTTTACATATTTTAGTTGTCATTCAGTCCAGTGGTGGTTTAAGTAAGGATGAAATTGAAAACATGGTGAAGAATGCAGAACAGTATGCCAAGGAAGACAGAGTAAAGAAAGATAGAGTAGAAGCTGTTAATCAAGCTGAAGGAATCGTTCACGATACTGAAGCCAAGATGGAAGAGTTTAAAGCACAGCTGCCCCAGGAGGAGGTACAATTAGATATATAAATAGAAAAATATATGCGCTCTATTGTGTATTAATGATTTTAATTATATTAATGTAATTAAAGTGTGACAAACTGAAGACTCAAGTAGCTGATATGAAGACAACCTTAGCCCAAAAAGACTCGATGGATCCCGAAGAAATTAAGAAACAAACAAATGAACTTCAGCAAGCTAGTCTGAAGCTCTTTGAGATGGCATATAAGAAGGTATTGTTTAATAGCTTACAAATGTAAAATAATAAAAAATAATCAATGATCGGTCATAATTTAGAAGAATTTAATGGAAATTTATTCGTATATGTTAATTTTAATAATAAAAATAAATTTATTGGTCGGGGCAGGCATTTGTAAATTTATAAATAAGAAGCAATTTGTTTGGTTTATTTTTATCTTGTCTGTTCAATTTATATTCTTCAATGAAAAATAATTGATATTGTAAAAACTAATTTTTAAATATTAATAAAATACGTATTTCTTTAATAAGCAAAAATGTTTTTGCAGATGGCTTCTGAGCGCGAGAGCAGTCAACAACAGTCACAAGAACAGCCAGAAAATGAGGAAAAGAAGAAAGAAGAGAAGAATTAAATGTAATTATATATATATATATATATATATATAAATCCATATAATTTACCTTCATTATACTACTCAAAATTGACGTTTATATATAAATTTCATATTTTATTGCATGATAAATGGATCACCTTAATAATACTTGTTTTAATTTCTTTTCATGTAATAGGCATTGGTCTTGTGAAGAAGTAAATAGAGTATTATGAGAATATAAATATTGAAGTTCGGATCACTGACAGTTCAACCAATGAAGATCAGTAATTTCAATTTTACAGATCATGATGAAACATTGAGGGCAGAGCTCTCTACCAACATATTAATAATATACCTGCCGATCCAATAGTATGAGCTTAACTTCATTAAACAAGCCAATATTTTCAAAAAATAAATTTTATATCTTAGGCTAAAAGCTTAAAAACTTCGTTACGTTAGGGTTTTCTTCTGATTTCCTTCGTATATTTTAATTTTGCTTGTTGACAAATCTGAATCGAATAATTTAAAACAGTTGTTCACCACCTTATTAGTGGTAACATTTTAAACCAAAGCTCATTGTATGAATCTCTTAAATTAAGAGAATATATATATATATATGAAAGCATACATTAAATAATAATTCGAACTGTACAAGATTTCCAACTAGATTGCTTGAAGAAAACTTAATTAATAAGGTCAAATATTTTGTTTTCATTTATAACTAATTTAGAATATTACGAAAGAAAATAGAGTGAATCAATATGTAAATTGTGTACATACATGTTTGCGTGATTTATAATCGATTATACAGGCGTTACAGTCTTGTAAGTCGTGAGAAATGCATTTTTAGCAAATATTCTACCGTTTCGATTAACTTCTATCTTTTCGATTGATGGATCGGGATGTTATTAATTAAATGTACATCTTAATTAAAATATCCCAATGTTTTAATAATGGTCAATGCTGTAATTTCATAGTAAAAATTTGATTTATTATTTATAAATTTAGCGATCGCATGGTTTTAATGCCAAGACGTAGAGAGGAAAAGTAGGAGAGAGAGAGACGTGTAGTACGAGTTTCGTAAAGCAGACAAAATTATTTAATTTAAGTCAAACACAAAATATATATAGATTAATGTAAGTCCTAATATGTTAAACAACAATGTAATTGTATACTTTATTCACATTTTTTATTATAGAAATTATTATTAATAGTATTTTGTAAGTTTCTGGCGTGTTTGTTCAATAAAAAGTATTTAAAGTAAGAATATGATCAATATTATTTTCTTATATCTGGTCGTTAATGTATGTCACATCGTTAAATCATATTTAAAATTCTTGCATCTGGTTGGTATCACCAGTAATGCGGAGATTATGAATTGTAGTCGATCATTTAATAATACGAAGAGTGTTTATGTAATAAAATTTGTTATTCTAATTTCAATTTTATATTGTGAAATTTTTTTTTTTATCTTCATTCATTTATAAGCTAATGTAATTTAAAGATTCTTTTATTTTTACATTTTACAAACATATGTTAATATATACCTTCATATATATATATATATATATATATATATATATATTATTCTTTGTGTTTTTAAAGATAATTTGTTAATCATTTTTTATAAGTTAGTAATATTTAGAGCTGGGATAATAAAGTATTTAATAGACAGAACCAGATTGTTAATTAAATAATTGAATGAACGTGGATAATGTATTATATATAATACTACATACTAGATGTTAACATTATTTTTAATAAATTTCACTTGTAATGTTTCGGGAAAATGTATATTCGCCTCGAAAAATTTTCTAGTTTACTTATCCATTCATTCTATTGATTTTAAAGAGTCTGTTTTTCATATCAACTATGATAAATTTTTAATTCATATTCTTCTTGCAAAATAAAATTAATTATTATATGAGAGTAATTATTCAAAGCTTCAAGAATAACGTTTAAAATAAAAATTTTCATATCTGATTTATGCGATGGAAAAAAATATAATAAATATATGCTACTGTTGCCGCGTTATAAGCGGGCATTAAAAAATTTCATAGAGAAGATGTAGAATGTATTTTATAATAAATTGCGTATATAAATTATGTGTATTTATATGCATGTATTATCATATTTACTCTCCAATTACTCTACGGTTGGACCGTAAAAATGGCCGCTCAAGTTTTTAATAATCGAGGCTACTATTTTTGTTATTTTATTTATATTTATTTAATGTCTTTATTAATTAATTATAAATTAATGAAATTCTCATATTGCATTTCATGAGATTGCATAACAAATTTACCATAAAATATAGAATCGAAATTCAAACAATAAGCATTACTTTATGTTACCGATAACGTTTGATAAGAGAGGCCATTCTAATATTTATCAATAGGATGTTAAAGCCTTAATTTTAGTACATAACACGTTTTGTAAATAGTTTATAATATTTTTCAGATATCCTGCTTACTATCTTTATAGCGTATGCGACACGTTTGTGTCACAGTTGCTTGACTCGTCATAAATGCACAATTATGGGATTATGATCCTATTTAGTGCACAAAGTCTATTTTTGTAATACCACATACGGTGATTGGCAAAAATTTATAATTAATAATTAGTAGTAATTTATGAATATTTGTAAATGATTAAAAATTGCTTTAAAGCTCAAATATATATATTCTTTTGATGAATTTTAATATATTTGCAAAGTTAGATTAAAAAACTAAAACTCATAACAATATTAGTTAAAATTAATTGAGTATTTCCTTTTTTTCATAGAGTATTTTCATTTCCGTATTTTAGTGTGAATATATGTTGGACTCGGACGTAATTTTACTTATGATTCAATGATTTTTACATTTTGATATTCATTCGTCGCTATTAAAATTAAAGGGGCAAAAGAATTTCTAAAAATATTTTAACAAAACTTTAAACTACCACCAAGTATTGCAAGATTATTAAAATCAATAGCGAACAATGTTCTTATATTATTTAATAAATTATGATAATAAAATATCAATTATAATTATAAATTTCTTAAATCCTGAGCTCAAAATATAACGTATAAAATATAATTCAAAATTTTGTGTGTAAAGTTTAAGATGATTATAGTGCATATTTTGATTTTTATTCGCGTATCAAATGCTTATAATTATAAGTACATTTACAATTTACAATAAATTTGTGTTAAAAACTTGAATTGTATTTTTAATAAGAATGAAGTGTATGTATCACTGATAATATGGTAACAAATGCACTAATACACTAAAGTATTTAAATACCGAATATAGATAAAAATTAATAGAAATTTTATATAATATTATAATATACAGTTAGGTGATTGTAACATGTGAAATTAATTTATGACGAAATGACACGCGACAAATTTATTTCATCTTGTAACTAAGCATACTCTATCGAGCTTATTTTATAATTGAAAAAAATCATCCGTTTAAATAGAAGAAGACTAATGCAAGAACATATGATTTACGAATAATAAAAGATAAAAAATATTTTACAATTTCCTTTAAAAATTGTACCTTTTCTATTTTAACATATTTTTTTTTCACTTTATGTCATATTACGTATAATCTCAATTATTTGAATTTTTTGCTCCCTACTATTGTGTATGTAAAATCTTTGTTAACGTATATTGTTTACCACATAATTTATGAATACCTGGTATTTTCATTTCAGTATTGCTGTATTTTGTTTTTGTTATTAGTATTTAATAAATTATCTCGAAAAATCTTGGTCATATATATATGTTTTGAATTTGTAATGTCGTTTTTTTTTTTTTTTTAACTTTCTTTCGCGCTGAAAATAACGAAAAATTACAGTAAAATCTTCTACATTAAATACTATTTTTTTTTTTTTTTTTTTTTTTTTTTTTTTTAATATATATTTTAAACTGAAAATATATTTTTTATAGTATCAAGGACTGCATTTATTACACATAATATAGTTTTTATTATCTGATGATGAAACTGTCATCGTCCCCCATTGTCAATTATCGATAATCATACATTGAATACAACAATAATTAGGTACTAAATAAGAATAGTAGATAGACCTTACTAATATAATATTAGTAAATACTTGCAAGCTGTCTTATCTAAAGATTAGCTTTGTTAATGCCAGGAGGCTTCGATTTAAACCTGCGCCTTTTATTTCGTTAGTCCAACATGCAAGTTTTCTTTCGTTAGTCGAACATGTAAACCCTATTTAAAATAATATTTAAGCCTTTTTCTGTCTCTCGAACAAAGTTTTGTACGTCGTTTACTAAGTAGCGTACAATCGGCGAGTACCTAAATTTCATTGTTTATCCCAAGACAACTTTTTTCCGAATGCAGTGAATGCGAAAAAATAGCTTTCGATCCATCTGTTTCTTATGGTAAATGGGTTACGTAATTTTTTTATGTCTTTGATATATCCATTATTGTGATGAGTCGTTACATCGCCAGCGTTATATTAATTATTTTACAATTAAATTCATATGTACGGTTACTTTATTGTGCAACATTCTTAAAATACCTTTCAATATTCTTTAGAAATTCCGGAATAAGAAGTTTTAATATTCCCATGAAAATATTTCTCTATCTTTTGACTTAAGAAAAAGAAAAAAAGAAAAGAAAGAAAAGAAAATTATGCTAAATAAAATAGCCATAATACAAGAATATTTTAACTATTCTAAATCTGCATGTAATGTTGCAATGTAATACGTCATTAAATGATGTAATTAGATAAGTAATTAGAATAATCATAACAAAATCGAATATTTACAAAATTAAAATATCGTTGTCATAAAATCGTATCAATAATTAAGATTGTTTTGATTAAGCTATTTTAAATTATTCTAATACATTAAAACTTATTCAATAAATCTATGTGATGCGCGATTTGTTTATTAATTAAAAATAACTTCTTTTTTATAAGATTTATATTTATAAGATAATTAATATTTTATACAAGCTGTGCCAGTATTGCTGTTACTTAAAAATCGATAACAATACTACCTAGAAAGTAAAATGAAAGGACGTGGCCAGAAAGTAAATTGAAGGTAATGATCTATTAGTAAAAAAATTGTTAGCGAAATTGCTATTTGGAAGATCTTTCTTTATTAGATTTATATATACTTTCTAAGAAACAGAAAGTATATTTCATTCTTTGAAAAAAATCTTATTTTCTATAAAAACAAAAAAGAAAAAGAAATATATATATATATATATATATATATATATATAAATTTCAATGAATATTGCTAAAAAATGTTTATTTTACTTAAGTTATTTTTATTTAATTATTATTATGGATTCAAATATCTCTACAATAAATACTCTTTCTTCTCGTGTTATTATTAAGTGTACACGATTGATCCTTGAAATATAAATCTATTATATTTATTTGTTTAAATACTCTATATATTCTTTATTGTTAAGTATAGTTGGTAAAAAATGTTTAAATGCAAAATAAACTTTGATATTTTTAAGTTAAAATAAATTTTATCTTAAAATTAATTAAAATAAAATTTTTATAATTATTTTAATATTATTATAATCAATTAACTTTTAGTAATTTATAGACAAGCTTGTTCGGCGAGTTTCTGATTTTTCTATGCCATCCGAGTTATACATACAACTTGGTCACGTGTAGCAAAACCCCATACCAGTGATGAAGTTTAGAGATCTTTGAAAATTCACTTTTCGCAGGATTTTGGCAAACGCCGTATATTGATTCACGGATATTTCGGTTGCCTCTTCCTTATTGAAAGTACTTTTCTTTCACAGACTTTTCTTTAGCTAAGTGGAAAAAGGTCGCTAATTATTTTGCTCTGTTTAGGCCACTGACTTATATAATTTCGTTGCACAACGATATACCAAAGTACAAAGTGTGCCTAACTTTTACTGTAATAGAATAATTAGATAATTAGGCTTGAATTCAATATAACTACGATTATTGAGTATAACAGTTCCCTTCTGCAATTAAATTAATGTAAGAAATTCAATCGTATACTGCTTAATATTATAGTACATAAGATTATTCGTTTGCGCAATGTTTTAGGAAAAATTTATCCAATTTTAAGATAATAATAAATAGTACACGGCAATGAAATATAAGAATTGTAGAGGAATAAAAATATTCTTATTTTTATTACAAATTCTTTATTACATTTTATATTGCAATAGAAATTTTAAGTTTTTCCACGATGAAAATTATATAGCCGTTACATTTATTCAATTAGTTTATATGAGAAAGATATATTTGCAAGATGATCAATATTTTACAATTAATGGTAAGGTTGGACCGTGTACTTAATAATAATAAGTAATAAATTTAAGGAACAAATTAGTTTGAAGTAACTGTCGTTAAAATTAAACTTATTTTATAAATTCAAGTTATTATAAATGTGTTAATTTTTATGTAATAATTAATGAACTTGAATCACGAATACATTGTTTACAAAATGATTAGTTTTAATGAAAATTTTTGAAATTTTAAATAACCCATTCTTAAAATTGTAGCTAGAAAAATGATATACTACATATAAGTAAAATAAATGCCGTCGAAAAGATATTAAAATATACTTAAAAAAACACTTTATCGAAACATTACAGAAATAATAAATGTAATAAATTTTTTTTTAACAAATATTGATTAAATTCAATAATTAATATATTTCTAATTCCTCTAATTATCTTTAAATATTTAAATTATGATTATAGTATTTCAGAATCTATAACTAGATTTTCTTTAACAAAAAAAAAAAAAAAAAAAAAAAAAAAAAAAAAAAAAAAAAAAAAAAAAAAAAAAAAAAATTTAATATAAAAAAATGCATTATAAATAAAATGTATATATATATAAATGCATATTGAATAATCAAGTAAAAAAAGTACACGATTATCTCAAAATATTATTACAGTCGAATATTCTTTTATAATCGTCTCTCCAACCAGGTTATTAAAACTTTTATTGGCACTCTGTATGAAGCGACCAATGCATCTCGTAATAAGTTTTTTATTACCGGTATTTAAATTGATAAATAGGTTAATTAACTTTCCATGTATTTCTAAGAAGTTCAATTTAAAGTTCCACAAATTTTGACATAATTTAAATCCTTCATTCGAACAAGGAACATTTTCAACAAAAAAAAAACAAAAAAATAAAAAAAGAAGTAATAATAAAAAAAGTAGTTTTTACAACCGAATTAGTTTGTACCCTTTTTTTTTTTTTTTTTTTAATGGCTTTTTAGTTTTATAGCAGCCATAAAGAGTTTTAGTATATTTTAGTGTTATTTTTTGTTTTATCAATTTTTAAGAAATTCTTTGATACTCCATTGTAATATCAACAATCTTCTTCTTTTCATTTCAATACAAAGGCATAAAGTATTTTATAATGTAATTATATAAATCGACATTTTTAAAACAATATTTATAGTGATATAAAAAATCATCTTTGGCTCATATTAATATTATAATATATAATTGCTTAAACATATTATGATTCATTCCATTAGATTCAGCAATTATATTTTATACAGCAATTATACAACGCTAACTGACGCTTCATCATTTGCTAAATCAATCATTTGTTGATCTATATAGCAATTATCAAGCAATGACAATGGCTAGGCTGATAGATCTATTTTTCATTGTTTATCCTATATATTTAGCCTTCTTTATATTTTATATCCTTTCACTTGTCTTCGCTTTTAAATTATTAAAGGCACTTAGAACTTTCGATGTCCTTTCAATAAACATTTTGCCAATCCGGAAAAGATATACGATTACTGCTTCACCGATATTGTTCATCTTTTTCTATTTCTTTTTCTTATAAGATAATTCATTATTTATTATCGACGGCAGTTGCATACCTTCACTTACAATAAATACTTCGAGTGCAATTTTATTTTATTATTTTCATAAAAAATAATTGATTATTAATAACCAATGTTTTTACTTTTAACACTTACATGCCTTTTCACGCATAGATTAATAAGTTTTCAGTACAAAAATATATTCTTATTGTCTTGGATTAATCTTTTCGAAATATTAAGTGACTTAAATTGAAAGAAATTAACTATTCGTGTAATTTACACGACGAATTCGATTCATTTTTATGAAATAAGTTATAGAATTTTTTTTTACACCCACTTTCATCAATGACCATTTTCCTTTAATATGATTTAGTTAGCCCATTGGTTATTACTCTTATTTCTCGTCGTCTATATCAAATAAAGAAAAATGTATTAAATACATTTACGCTTAATTATATATTATAAAGGATTTTATTTAACATGTAGATTTATGAACAATTTGGTTGGTATTGGAAAATAAGCATTTCATCTGCTTACAATAAGCTGCGATATTCATCTTTTATGTATATTAGTTTATGTTAGTAGTCTATGTTATGTATATTAGTGTATATTAGTGTCGCGTTTGATAGGAAACAATCTGGATGGCATCTTATTGGTTCATCCGTACCTTGGTACCTTGGATCTACGCAAAAGGATCGACGATCGCCGCAGGCGGTTCAACGAACCCGCGCGCAAGAAGGAAAATCTATCGATCAGTGAAGGCGATCTCACAGAGTCGTAAGTAAGTGCATTTTCTTTTACTCGACAAAGATAAAGCAGAAACTGAGCGGCGAAGGCTTACGTATATAAGCCACGACGATCGCGCTATTATTTTCAGTTAGCCATCTTTGCTCAATAGGATTGCTCAAATCTTTATTTAAGACCTTCGGGCCTCTCTTGTTGTTAATTTATTTTTCTTCCGATTTTGTTAATTTCCCGAAGATGTTGCGAATAGTAAGATTTATTTCTATTTGATATGCATAACACTAAGGGCATACGTCAACATAGTCAAATGTCGATATTTTCGAGTGTGAACTCTATCTAGTTAATTTAACTGTGACAGTGCCGACCATCGAAATTATTGTCAAATCATAGATGTACCAGATTAAGATTGATCGAGAATAATTTATACATCGTTTTTATCCAATTAATTTTCTTAGTGTATTGGCTATACAATCGAGAGAATAAATAATATCATTTATTTGTGTATAATGTCAAGTGTTAGGAAGTTAAACTTAATATTAACAAAATTATATAAATAATTTTTGCTTGGGTTAGATTAAAAATTTATGTAAAATCCTAGAATTATTTATAGTAAGCATTATTTTAATATTTCAACTATTAATACAAATATTGCATTTTCATAAAAATACAGAAAATAACAAATGGTTTTCTGATAATGATAAACGGCAGAAATTTACAAATTTTCTGCTCATACGTTCTTATTATGTAGAGAAAAATAATAAAGATGTTGAATATTATTAATCTTTAAATTAATATTTAATATTCAAAATAACAACTATTCGAAAATGCACAATTGATTATTTTGCAATAGATATTGAATTGCAATAGAATTTATCATTGTATATCAGGTTACTTAAATATTATATAATTATCCAATATATTCATGTTAATTTGTTTAATAGATAATTAATGTAATTGGATTATAGCACATGTTTCATTGAAATTTTATAGTAAAATAAACTTTTCGGAGAAGATCGAAGAAACTATGAATTTCCAAAAATAAGAATTTTAAGATATTCAATTTATACAATTTCATTATGATGATGAAATAGATGAATTTTTGTAGAATTAAATTTGCTTAGATTTATTCGTATGATAAATTATGATAGTTTTCAATTTATGATAGCTTTTACTTTTTATTTAATTTTATTCGGTTCAATATTAACTCCTTATTATGATTTTTGATTTAAAATATATTTCAATATTTACTTACACGATGAATAAAATATAATTGATTAAATATTTTTTTAATATCCTGGCGTTTTATGTGAAGAATAAAATTTTCTTGATCAGCCATTCTAATAATTACCTAGGAATAGCGCACCTATAGCTTTTAAGCTAAACTAAAAGATTCGATTAACAGCTTATGCGAAAATATAAAATAATATTTGCCCTTTTATATTTGCATAGAAATAAGTGGGCTGATAATTTATAACAATTGAAGAATTTAAGCATTGACATTATTAGTAAATTTAAGTATTAAAATCTACTTAAATATACGTAATGAATTATATGCAATGAATTATAGCAAATACAGGACGTTTGTTGTATTTGTTGTAACATTGCATGTAATATCATAATAATATAGCATTTATTTACCTCTGCGTGCTTTCGAAAATTATTTTCTAGCTGGCATTAGTGGCGTTTTTATTCACGATGACGAAGTCCTCACAGCATTTTTCATACGGCAACGCGCCCCTCTACCCCATTCATCCAAAGCTGATCTCGCAGTCGGTGCAGCTGAAGGAAGTGCCCACCAAGATCATAAAAATCACTAAGACAGTGGCAGTGAAGGTGCCGGTACCCTATCCCGTCAAGGTGGGTGAACTTTTTGCCATTTTCTCTTTGACAACACCACTGTACACAAATTTTATCACCTTTATTCGCCGTACGCAAATAGTGCAAACACAGGGCTTTCGTATACGCGTTTTTGGAAAAGGATTCGTAATGAAAATTTCTAACCTGTAATATTAAATAATATGACTGGCGGCTACTTTACCTCTCTCAACTCATTTGACACGTTTTTCTCTACGTCAAATAACCAATTGTCTCTCAATGTATCGTAAAGTAAAAATTTTGTGCATACCTTTAAATATTTATCGTTGGCCTTTCCTGTTGATTTCTTATTCGGAAGTTGATTCAAAACCGAAATTAAAACGATCTTGATCTTGATCAATTGCGGATGAAAAGATCGTTCATTTCCCTTCCCAAGCAATTAACCCCAACAATGCTATTTTCATCAAGTGCAACTCATAACTCACGAATACTCTTCTATTGCAAGCAAAAAATTTACTAAATTGTTAATAAAAATATGCCATTGAGGCAGATTTTAACAAGATTGCGTGTCAATACATTTTATCTAGGGCAAATTAAGCAGTGAATAACGAAAGAATAAAAACAGACAGAAGTCATTTAATGCTTATATAGTTTGTTCTGTTATGCCTTAACATAAATAAATATTAAAAAATAATTGATATTAAAAATAATATTTTTACGATTAGAGATACTCTTGATCGCATAATTGAAATGCTTGTTTCTTTCGAGATTTAATGATAATTAGAGTAATAAATTGTATATTGTATGTATATAAATATTCGCCCATTCATATAGATTAAAATTAACGATCTGTACTTCCGAATTTATAATTTGATTTTTAACGATTATTACGCTCGAAATCATTGTAATTGAATATTAATTTAATAATAGCATCATTTTAATAATACACTATCTTTATACAATAATATAAATATTTTATATATAATTTATATATATATATTTATTACAATTTTACAATACCGTAAGTTATATAAATATTTTTTTTTTTTTTAATTTGAAAATTTTTATTCAAAGTACATTCTATTTATGATATTTTTCAAAGTTTTCAATTTACAGTCTTCTAAACTACGTTTGCAATTGTATATTTAGTACAATTTCTGATCTCAAGTCAATTCTTAATTTATCGATAGATATTACATTAGATAGTTATTTATTACATTAAAATATAATCAGTATTAATACGTGTATTTATAAACTAATTTTTAAGCTTGTTAAATGTTCAGTTTAATATTTATTTAAAGAGATCATAAAAGAATCTCTTTGATATTATAAAATCAATATTATAATTTTTATTAATTATATACTCATAGTAATTTAATAATACAAGTTTATATATATATATATATATATATATATATATATATATGTATATAATATAGACTGTATAATGATAATGTAACGATATTTCTACTCGAGGGACAAAATCGTATAATGAAGGTATAATTTGTATATTTTGTCAATCATATTTTGCCTTAGCATTATTTATTCATATTGCCTAAGTAATAATGCACATTTAATAAATGGATATACTTGGTAAGGCGTGAATTAAAAACAATATTAATAGCATGAGAATAGCTTATCAAATTTAATGAAATTAATTTTCCTACTAAAATTACTTTCCATTGTTTCCAACTTCCGAGATCTTAAAAGCATGTGATCAGTGACTTACGACGTATGTCAACCAATTAATCGTCTTTCCTTGAGCTTGAAAATTTTGAAAGCTAGAGCTCGAATAAGTCGTCTTGGATGACATTTTGCAATATGAAATATATAATCGTGGATTTCGCTTTCAAATTTATAATAAACTTCGTGTGTTCGGCGGAATGGACAATTTGCAGGTACCACATCATATACCGATACCGGTACCAGTTCACCATCCGGTCGCAGTACCAGTTCCGCAGATAGTGAAAGTTCCGCATCATGTGCCAGTGGAGATTGAGAAGCCGGTTCCCGTGGAGCTTCCTCAGCAGGTGCCGCTCTACCTAACCAAGCCGGTGCCGCTACCGCATCCGGTTCCGGTGCCCCAGCCGATCACCATTAACAGGCCAGTTTACTATCCAGTGCCGCACGCCGTTCCTTACTCCTCTCACAATGGGCACGAGGTACACGAACAGCCGGTAAGTCGACTCGTTCGGTCGTAAGTCTATAAATAAATCGCGAGCGTTCACCTTTTTTCCTCTTCTGCTTTGTCGAGTATAGACAGGGTAAAGAAGAGCTTTTACAATCCCCGTACAAGCTTCTACATCCTAATTCGAAGTGCGATTACCGATAAGGATGTGAGTGTCTTGTGAGTCTCAAGATGTTGCTGTAGCACTGCTGGGAAAGCAACTTAAATAATGATTCTCTCAATAATCGGTCCCACGACTCGGAAATCGAATCGTCAATTCTTCTTATTTTAAGAATGAAAGCACGCGGTGGAAAAATAATGATCGAAGCCAAATGGAACATATATTTACTATGTATTGACTTATTAAAGTCACGTTTTCATAAGTTTCATGATTCGTGTACACTTTACGAGTGTCAAGGTTTGAAAAATTAGGCAAAATCATGAATTGAAAATAATTTTCTTCAATTGTACTCGGTACTCTGAGAACGTAACGATTCCATTAAATACATATTTGTCTTCTGAAATCTTAGAAGCTTTTTCTTTTTTTTAAGCAACTACGATAAGCCATTAGTTTATAATTTATTTTTTTTTAATGATAAAGTTACATATATGCTTTTCTTCACTAGTCGATTAAATATACAAACCGCAATATTTTCTTAAATTTTTTCGTCTTATAGTGTCTGTTATATTGTTTTGAAAATATGATTGGAATTTTAACGAAAAGCAATTTATTATATGCAAAACATATCATTACCTGATTATTCCAAGAAATTTAATTTAAGAAATGCTCGTAATTCACTGCATAAAAGCTTAATTCAAGCTTTCATAATTGATTAAAAAAACTATAGGAATCTAACGAAATGTGTACTTATAGCTATAAATAATTAAATACTGTTATCGTTTACTACTGAATATAATATTAAGGTTACATTTAGTTTTAGATCGATAATTTTATTAATGAAGTGAATTAAGGTGCTATAACGCTAATTAATCGTTAAATCAACAAAAATGAAAGTACTAATAAAGATCAACATCTCTCTCTCTCTCTCTCTCTCTCTCTCTCAAATCAAATTAACTTTCTTTTCCCTAATATGTAAGAATATATTTCTTCATAATTTTATTTTAATCATTAAGAAATAATATTAATAAGAAATTGTTAATTATAATAAAAAAATATCGTACACACGCGTATCGATAAAAATTGCTCATTGTTCAATTAAAATCATATAATGTTAGAACTTAAGGTAAGTTTTAACATAAATTTCAAAATCCATGGATGTAGTGATTTCGCTAGTCAATTAGTTTTTAAATCAAAGTAAAAAAAAAACTATACTATACTACATATATATATATATATATATATATGAAGTAAATCAACAAATTTATCTGTATATCTATATCTATACCTTTATAATTAATTAACCTACATTATAATTTATTCGCCAATTGTATAAGTCAAAGCAAGTGAGAGGATATGGTAGAGTTATAAAAAAATCAGATGTAACTAGAATAATTGTTAAATAGTTATTTAACTTTTCTTTTTAATGAATGCGCGTAGATAGCATAAACAAAAAAAGAAAATAGTTACCACGTTACTTTCGAGAGCTGTAATTTATGTTTTCGACTGGAAGGTCTCGAGGCAATCGTACGTTACATGAAAGACAAATAAGTAATCGATAAAATCGTCTTCGCAGCAGTACGAGGTTCACGCAAGCCTCTTCACCAGGACATCGGACTTTGATTCGAAGGAGGAGAACGAAGGCAACGCGAAGGAAGGGAAGACAGAGAGCCAGGAGTCCACTGCAAGCCAATACAACTTCGATTACTTCCGGCCTTCGCAGCCTGACTATTCCTCCGAGCACTGACTTGGTAGGCGATAGTCCTGGCTGATTCCCAAGAGGAAGGATTTCAGGAAAATACCACGTCCGGACATGGCGCTGCGACGCCCCCGTCCCACCCATTCACCCAAGTCCTGAAAATCGGCTTCTTTAAATCGGAAAGGAGCTCTTTGCATTTTCCCAGATGACACAGAAATGGCATATTTGTGCATTTTGCTCTCACGAGCGATAAAAGCTTGGCTAACTTCATTCCAGGCCATTCTTAACGTTTATCTTTGTTTTATTTTATTCCGCCCCTTTGATTATTACTTTGACGTTTTTATGTATGAGCCGACAACAACTTTTGTAATAAAATTATTATAAAAAAGGCTTTTATCCTTACAATTTATTTATATTGTCTGATGATTATTATGTTACTTTGGATATATATATATATATATATATATATATATATATATATACCGAGATGAGGTATACGAAAGGTTAAAAATGTATTTTCGAAACTCGAATGAATATTTAATATAACTGATGATAATTTATAATTTTATGCAAATTTTGTGCGTCGCTACGGACGGTAAAATGAACGTTTTGTTACGTTACGATTTCATTACTGAAATTATACTAAACCTTATGTAAATCAATATTTCTCTAATTCTTTTATAGTATGTACCCAATTTATGTGACGCGTGATCGTCTATTCATTAATACGAATTCTCAATTAATAAAAATAGAACAATTGCCAAAGTTTAATAAAATAAATAGGAAAAGGGGCGTTAGGAGAGAGGATTGATATTTATTCGAGCATAATAAAATACGATAGAAATTCATTGAAGACAGCAATGCATAGGAGTGAGTGAGTGAGTGCGTGAGAGAGAGAGAGAGAGAGAGAGAGAGAGAGAGAGAGAGAGAGTTGAAAAAGACGGTATTAAGAGTATGTAAATACAAGAGTACAATCGCTGTCTCTATCATTCTCTTATTTTCTCGCAATGTTGTACGCAATTTACTCTCGAGGTTACTTGCCATAGGTGAATTTCGATCGATTTTTAAAGATAAGAATACGGCGCACCATTGATCTCTTGCAACACGCTTGAATATAATGTATTAGATGAAATTCACTATAAATATATTTAATCGAATTCATTTCAAATCATTTTGAAGAGAATACTATAGTTTATTATTTCATAAATATATAATGTACAGTATATACGGATATATGCAATTTAATGTATACACAGGTCAATTAACAATGTCAGTAGTTAAAAAAAAGAAGAGAATCGCTTACTACATATATATATATATATATATATAATTGTTGTATTTTTTTTTATTATATTCGCGAGGAAGAAATTATTAAAACGGTTTGATTTTATACAAGCGTCTTCGTATGAATAATAGTTTATTAAATTGAATTTAAGAAGATAGAATGTAATGCAACTATATCAATTTTGATATTGAAAAATAATCAAAAACGTAAATTAAAAAATTCGATTCAACATATAATTATAATAATATAGTCGATTATTATATTATATTATATTAGTATATCAGCGCTTAACGGGTAAAAGATTTTTAAAATAGACGCCATTTCATTTGAAAGGTATTTAAATAATAATAAAAGAGATACGAGGATATCTCCGCCCTTATTCACATTAATATCCTTTGTTCAAAAATCTTTTTTGGATGAAACACATCCTGCAGCTTCAGTGTCCCGGGTACGTATATGCATTTTGCCTGCTGCTACTGTGCCTACGTCAATTTCCATTGGATATACGGTCGGTAAACTGAAAATATCAACTTCGGCTTTAGATGCCCTAATATTCATCGGGGCTGCTTGAATTATTCATCAACGGTTTATATTATCTCCTTTGTTCTTTCAATACATACTCTTATAAATATGCACGTGTGCACTTAATTGTCGCTTATTTCTTATTATGAATTGATGAATAACTTAACATAGCATTCGCAAGATAAGTTTTTGTTGCGTACCATATATATATATATATATATATATATATATATATATATATATAAAGTATAAGATATTCTTCTAAAATATCAAATAAATCATTGGCTAAACTGGTTTTCGAATTACAACATCGTAACCAAACACACATATTTTATGTTCATGAACGACATGTCCAATTGCATTTTTACTAAATCTTATGAATTTTTTAATTATAGACCTTTATATCATCATGTATTATTTAAATGTGTTATTAAATAATTCATTTTCTAAAGACTGCCATGATCATGAAAAGTAAATTGTCTGTATAATAGGATTACGGCCATAGCATCGATATGTTATATCTCATTTCAAATCATTTCAAATATAAATATTGAATATTTAACGTAAATAAATAGTAATACGTGCTCCATATAATATAACAAAAAAATGTCTATTTAAACATAAGTCAGAAATAAACATTCAAACGTAAATTAAATTAAATTGAAATTAATGTATTGTGCGCGTAAATTAAGTATTTTTGCATAGTTTATTAAGAGCACTTAAAAATTGCAGTCAAAAATGTAATTATTATCAAACATTCAATGGTCAAGCAGTTTAATAAAATTTCTTCATTATTATTAGAATTCAAGTGTCGTATCAGTATTTTAAGATTTTGTTTTTAACATGAACACGTCTAATAACACAATAAAGTAAACATTTGATGAACATGTATCTTTTCTTGACTTTCTACCGTTTGTAGATAATTATAATAATTATCTTTATACGCTAGTGTAGCATATACTCTTTAGCTATTGATTGTTAATAAATTACATGAATTTCTACCGATAGGCTGGAGTCTTATTTTAAAAGATATTCATCCAATTATTTATAATTGTTTTCAATATTTAATTTAATAACTGATTAGTATCTTTTTAACGTGAACAAATGCGTTCAAATGCGTTAAATTTCTATCACGATATACTTTAATCTAGTTTAGCGTTATTCAGAGATACACAGTCATTTACTATTATCCTCCCCCCCCCCCCACACCCACATAAATATTTTTTTTTTTATTTCAGTCGGAAATTAAATAGTTAAAGTTGCATGCAATATTTCTTTACCTAATTCAACTCAACATGTACTTTCATAAATTTTACAATTCTAAAAGTTTTTAATTTCTTTTATACATTTACGCTATTTTCATTTCGGAACATTTTTTACTTGCCTCATGATTCATGAATATGTATTATTTGTTAAAACATGGAATAGGATGCGTTAAATTATTCCAGCTTCAAATAGTTTTAAAGTAAATAGAAATTTTTACGTTGTGATGTATTGTAGAGTCAAAATTATGAATATATTTTCATTTCTTATTAAAGTAAAATGTTTGATTGTTCAGTAGTATAATTTGGAATGCCATGAGTAGAATGTTTAAGCTAACGAAATGTAAATAATGTTCTTCAGATTTCGATAAATACAATCTTCAAAATTATTTTACTCTTTTCAAAAGTTTATTAATAAATAAAAGTTATGTAGATAACACACACACACACACACACACACACACACACACACACGCACGCACGCACGCATATATATATATATATATATATATATATATATTCTTTAATTTTATACCAATCTAATTACTTTCTACTTTTTTTCGATTTATTGATAAATTTCTTAATTTTTTTCTCTAATTCAATAAAAAATATCCTTTTATATTTAGTAGTAATTTCAATTTTATGTAGAATTACTATAGATACCATCATATGTTATATTTAAGCGATATAATTGCTATTACTATTATTTCTATTACTTTCTATTTCTTATTTTGAAGTTATAATTTTAGATAATGTGTACTCATTTATTTCAGGCATAGAAATAAATACTCTAATACAGTACCAAAAATATTATTTATTAATTGATTACAGTGATACTTCAATGAAATATCGCAGTTTAAATGTCGCACCTAAATGTTTAAGAGTACTTTTTATTTTCGAACAGTATAAATGAATAGTAATTCAAATATTTATTAAAGTTAGAAATAATTTTAAGTTATATTTATTAGATTTCAAAATAATGGGCAGTAAAAATTTTAGAATTAACTCGTAATATAGAATGAAAATTTCTACTTTAAGGAAAAACACATACATACGCATAAATTCTTTAAAAATTTTATATTCCGTTATTAGATTGGTAATTTCTTTAAACTACATTGATCACAATTAATAATCGAAAAAATTAATTGTCCTTATTAAAGAAATTGAAAAAGCAGAGAATTTAATATATTTGAAATCAAGATTGATTGCAATTATGCAATTAATTTAACACCCACTTATGCTTAAAGATTCAAGTATAAGTGCATAGTATTCTTATCAACGGCTTTTCTTTTCTTTTTTCCTAATGAATTAACCTGCGCTTATTAATGGCAAAAGTAAAAGTAAAATATTCTGTTTGTGCGAAAGTGGAATAGAATATTTTTCTGAATTTGTTATTTATGATTATTACGTACTAACGTCAATTGTCTGTGTTTGACAACTTCTACAGTACAAAGTATTGCTCAATCACGATACATGAACGAGGGAAGAAATTTTTTTTCAACTCAATGCATACAGTACAAGGCATTGCGCGTGTGTTGTTAAGATGACAACAACAACAACAACAACAACAACAACAACAACAACAACAAAAATTATATTTAATCATATTCGAATATGCGTTCTATTCTATATTAAAATCAAATTATTTCATCACAATGACAAAATGAAAAAATTATACGCACACGTAACGAAGAATGCTAATAGATTATGTATTAGACAATCAATATAATTACGTAACAAAAAAAAAAAGAAAAGCTACTTTTAGCTTCAAAGCATAAACACACTAGATAGAGATCAATATCAAGTTAAGCTACTGCCTGATTAATTAGCCTTGCACAATACTAACTCGTCGTTAAATAAAATAACGACCATACAAAGAATACCAACCCAGAGTCGCGATATAACACGAGGCATGCGCCTCTACTGTCATAATCGAGTGATTAAACTTACGGGAGAGGTGAGAGTTAGCCTACGCCCTATTGGAGTTAGAACACCAATAATCGGGTAGTATGTTGGAAGAGTCCGAGAGTTTATTAAATTTAGGCATCGCCACAACAACCAAAGGGTTTTCCCGCTATTTATCGAAGCAAGCGAGCTGACGCAACGGCCTCCACTCCTCCTCGACTCCTCCACTTTTACCGAAACTCGAATAAAATCGCCGCTCGACCTTCTCCGCGCAGGTGGCCCTGCATCACGTACCCCGGTTAGAAAGTGCGGACCTGGGCTGGCGCGTGGCGCACAATCCGGTTTCGGCGCCTCCTAGCAGATAAGCGCAATCGTCGGAATCGAGTCGTTGCCGTCCTCCTCTCCGCCTTAAACTTTCCTTTCACGTTCTTTCATTGTGTTATATTTGTTAATGTTGCGCGAGCGCGTGATCTTAACATACGAGCATCTCTTTCATTTTCTTTTTTTTTTTTTGTTTGTTATTTTTTTCGTTATTCTGTCCAAGATTTTTCATTATTCTTATAGTGACTTTCGATCAATGGCTCAATGTCAAAAGATCGCGTTGATCATCGTATCCCTTCTCTAACGCCCGTTGTATTTCGATTCGTCAACATGGACTCCCTAAGAGGACTTTACCCATTGAGTTGATAAACTAATTCTTCGTTTGCTGACTAATCTCGAGTGCAATTATAATTTCCAACGTATATGTAAATATTATGTATCCGGTCGTGGTGGTGGTGGTGGTGGTTGTTGTGTGTGTGTGTGTGTGTGTGTGTGTCAATTGTTAACTATATTATGCAAATGCTTAAATGTCACGATTATTTTATATTGAATTGTTTACAATTACATGAAAACGCGTGTAAATGTGAATTTCTTTCGCTTTGCATTCCTATAACTGCAAGTTTGTATGCAATTTATTACAATCCGTCTTGTAAAATTTATATAAAGCAAGGATAGATGGTGAAAAGTCAATCGTTTAAGCCAGTGTGCTATTTTGAAAAGAAAAAAAAATTGCTTTCAATGTTAACTAATGTTTATGGAAATATATATTACGTATGAAATTAAAGGTGTTATTGCGAAGTTAAGCGAAAGAAGAAAAATTCTATTTCTTCGTTGTTGGTTATTCTGTTGTTTTCCGTTTCCTATTCCTGCTAAAAACGATAAAGTACTATGTGCGTTTAATTTGAGACATTAAATACAAATTTAAGAAACAGCAAATTGTCGTTTGATAGAAAAAAAACTTTTATTTATTGATTATAAAAATAACATAGCTTCGGATATACAGCACGGAATGCTGTAATTTACATTTACACGTGAAATTCAAGAAAATGAAATTGGTAATTCCGCAATCGATGTATTTCACTTTTTTCTTATCACTATTTATCAACATCTAAGGCGCAAACGTAACGAGATTTTTCGGTGTGCGAAAGTAATATCTTTCCATAGTGCATGATTGTTCGTTGTGTTCCCTCTCTCTTTCTCTCTCTCTCTCTCTCTCTCTCTCTCTCTCTCTCTCTCTCTCTCGTATGTACAGAATTAATACTTCTAGGGAGATGCGAGAATACCAATTTGATGTAAAAAGTGATAAAAGCGTCGAAGAGATGTTCTCGTCCAAGCCTATTATAGTCTACTTCCTTCCTTGGAATTAAAAGGATGACTCGTATGTAATGTGACGTGTCCAAAGACCTCTGCCATCGAATCTTCCAATAATCTTCCGATAATCTTCCGATAATCCATTATCCGCACGTAAGCTGAGAAATTTTCTTTGCTCGCATTTCGAGAGTCTTCATCGTTAATAAAAATAAATGTCCGTGCGTGTGTCGCAAGTTGGGCCGGTCACAATGCTACAATAGCCGACCATTTGTATTTGTTGACTAAAAATCGCTCCATCTCCGTCATTAAAGAACTAAAATAATTCACACTATTGTCACAATGATGACATTCTCCTCGATAACTCCTCGATAACTCCTCGATAACTCTCAAGATCCTTCGGATGTAGCTAATCGATCTCAAGGTCCGCACAGTCCCCTTTCCTGCTCTCTACCAGCTGGTATAAGTAGCCAGTCCAGGATACTTGTCAAGGACCAGTGGCTGGGAATAGGGAAGGCCGGCCACTTGTTTAACGATTGGCACGGAGTAAGGTTGAGGCACCTCGACCGCGTAGGGGGTTCCGACGTGCTTGACGAGTGGCACGTGCACGGGGTATGGCACTGGACGATCGACGGGGACGGGCACCGGCTTGGCAACCTCGACGGCATAGGGTTTGGGTACTGGCACGGCGACTGGACGATCTACCGGCACGGCAACCTGAATGGATAGGGAAGAAATAAGATTATTGGATGAAAGTAGTCGACGATCGAGAATTTGACGGAGCATTCGATCGTGACAGCTTGATCTGGGATGATCTACTACGGGCCTTGAAGCCCTCGAAGATGGATTCGTAGGTCCTCGCGTAAGTCTAATTAAAAGATTGGCTATTTCATCGATTATCGGTCCCCTTTGGATTTCCGATTGATTTTTCCATTCCTTTGGTTAGTCGGGATATATTAAATTTTGGAAAATATATTTCTGAGAAGAAACAAGTTTTTCATACTTTTTCGTAATAATCATATCAACTATCCGTTTAAAATTGATCGAGTCAACTTCCCTTTGGATGTTTGTGATGTGAATTTTTAAAATTTGTTCAAACAAGCTCGTCCGTACAATGCTTTAAAAACTCAATCGGCTCCCAATAGATGATTAAATGATCGGCGCTCGTGTTGATTTTAATTAAAAACTCAGAATAAAAGAGATAAATGTAACTCTTAAAATAACTAATCCGGCAAAACGACATGATTTCTTTTATTTTAAATTATCAAGAAAAGTGAATTGAAATAAGGGGGAATATGAAAATGTATACACATCGACGTATCATCCATCCTCGGGAATTCTAAATTCTTCACTCGGCAAACAACTTACCTTCTGGATGACGGGATACGGTACGTGTTTCTCCACGGGTACGGCGACGGGATGTGGTACTGGATAGGGGACTTCCTTGGTGATGACGGTGTTAGTGTGTACGCCAGCGGTGTATAGCGAGGGCGCTGAGTAAGCGGAATAGGCGTAGGGCGAAGCGTAACCGTAGCCAAGATCGAAGAGGCCACGTTTGTTTTTCTTCGTATCATCGATTTTCTTATTGGTTAACGGGATATCCTTCGTATTCTCCGCTGCGTATAATCTGGATTCGCTGGCCGCGAGAGCGACCGCCACCATGGCAAGAAGAATGAAAATCTAATAGGAATGGGATAATAAATAGTATAAATAGTTATAGAATGTCGTTGAATCTCCTGTCGCAGCTGCACTCCCAATGATTTTATCCAATGATCGATTATTCCGATTAATACCGCGACATAATAATCGAGCTGATTAAGTTACAACAAACAGAGGACGCCTCGAACTACGACAAAAGCGTATTGTTTATTATGGATGAGGAGGGGTTGGTGGAGAGATGGTTAGACTCAACGAAGATGACCCCGAGGCCAGGACGCGTGGAGAAAGCCGATTAACCGATTGATTACACGGCAACTGCGTATCATAATAAACTGGAGTAAAATAGTAGTAGTAGTAGTAGTAGTAGTAGTAGTAGTAGTAGTAGTAGTGTTTGAGCTAAAACTCACCTGAGGCTGCATATCGTCGATAGGTCTGCAGGATAGGATAGATACTGCAAGAAGTCGGAACGCGCGTTTAGCCAACGGAGATGGGACTGAGAGTGTCGAAGAGCTCGCGAGCTTTTATAGGAGAGGAAGTTTGGCGTGCGTCGAGCAGATCGGACGGGTCGGGTGGGCCCGATGATGATGATTGTGGTGGTGGTGGTGATGGTAGTGGTAGTGGTAGTGGTAGTGGTAGTGGTAGTGGTAGTGGGAGTGGTAGTGGTAGTGGTAGTGGGAGTGGTAGTGGTAGTGGTAGTGGGAGTGGTAGTGGTAGTGGTAGTGGGAGTGGTAGTGGTAGTGGTAGTGGGAGTGGTAGTGGTAGTGGTAGTGGTGGTGGTGGTGGTGGTGCTCGTGGACACCACGTCGGGCCCGAAAATGCCGACAGAAAGAAAGAACAAAAATGAAGGAAAAAAGGAGATCGTGCCTTGGCTCGCTTTCCTTGCGCAACACAGCCCGGACCTCGGGCCGCGATTAAGAAAGAAGCGCCTTACGCGTTACATGCGCGCTCGGGCAATTTTGCGGATTGCGCCAATGAGCGATAGAGGCTCGCCGCTTCCGAAGCCCATCGGTTCACGTACACGGTGTCAAGGATACTTTTGAGATTCCGGGATGCAGGGAGTGCTGCCAGGGTCAATCCATAAGCAGCCCAAGAGCTGCCCCTGCTTTTCTTCAATTTCTTTTTTCTTTTATTTTCTTTTTTTTTGTTTTGTTTTGTTTTTTGTGTTTTATTTTTTGCTTTTATAATTCATACTTTGTGTTAGATCGTTGAAATGTGGATAGCGATCGTAAATATGTCCGCTCGTTGATTCAGTAAGGTTGGTTCGGTGATGTTAGGAGGCGGCGAATAACATATAGAATGTTGTTTGAATTTAATCTGCTACTCGCGTGTTGTTTTATAATACTCGGCCGGTGTTTGTTGACTCTCGAATGGAATATCAAAGCAAACATTGATTCAGAATATTTTCGTCGATACGTTTCTTAATTTTATGTTAAGTAACGTGCTTTCGTTCACTCGAACAATATCCCATTCGATTTCGTCAGTAAAGTGTTAATAAATTGTGCTAGGAAATCAGGTATAAATGGCTAGATTAATTGGGATAAAAACATCCTAGCTTTATCTTTCGATATAAATTAAATTATCGCTTAACAGGGCTTAAACTTTAGAGTGACAATAATACATTCGACCATGTTGTCACAGCTAATTGTGATTCTAAGGGAAATAAATAAACTAAAGGGAAAATTACATCCCAATACAAAATACTTATTTAGTAGCTTGTAGTACTGCTTGCAAAAGATATTATAATAGCGGCGTAATAATAAAAGCGACATTCTTTTTAAAAAGTGACATTAAGTTATATAACGAAAAAAATGGCGTAAACTACATAACTATGTAGAACGAGAATGAGAGAGAGAGAGAGAGAGAGAGAGAGAGAGAGAGAGAGAGAGAGAGAGAGAGAGAAAAGTAAATACATTGTGCATTTATATAAAAAGTAAAATTACAATGGCTACAGTTTATGTGTAATTAATTTATTTTCATTAGCATATCGCAGCATGCTGTATAAAATTATTTTATCATTAGAACTAACGGATACGTCGAAAATAACTGTGAAGTTAATTATTTGAGGTAATAAAATGCCAATATTGCAATACTTTTTTCATCTAGCAACAACATGATTAGACTATTAATTTATTACATCACGATATTGCATGCATTATTTGCAATATTACTAGGATATGTATTGAATAAAAGATTAAGCACGAACAAATTACTAAAATTTATATCACCTTCTTGAATTAATCATTTGATTTTTAAATCTTATGATTATTTTACAATCGAACTAAAACTCGAGTAAAGGTCTGGCAATACTACATTATGCTCATAAATAGTAAACGAATAGTTTTAAATATTGATAATCTTGTTTTATTAAAATTTTGTATACATTTATTTGCTTTTAAAATGCAGTAAGTACTTTCTAAAAGAATAAATTAATTAAAAAAAGGTTTAGGTATATTGTTAAAAATCATGTTTATAAAAAATAATCTTCTCGAAACTTGTATTTAATTGTCAAAGAGCGTTAGTTCCACTGTAATAAATAGAAATATAAATAAAATTTTCGATGTAGTTGATGAGAAAGAATTAAATTATTAAATTCGTATTATAGTACAAAATTTTTTTCTTTTTCTTTAATAAAAGTAAGAGAAGTCAGAGGTAAGAGAAACATTATTTTTTCTATTTAATTGAAATATTTATTAAGCTTTTGATTGCAATTATACTCGATCTTGCTTAAAAATAATTCATCAAAAGTGTTTATTATGATTTAGTAATTTGATTACGAGATATAACATTTAAACAGCTTTAGTATATATAATATCAAAAAGAAATATTTTTAAGAAATCTTGGAGCATTTTATTTGAAACTTTTCAAATTAAAATTAGTTAAATACAAATTTTTATATTACCATAAATTTAAAATAATAATAATAATAAAGATCATTTCTAAGGAAATTTCTTTAATATCATACTATACGCTTTCTTAATATATGTACCACACATAAAACGTTATATACGTAAGATTACGTAATAATAAAAATGTTAATGTCTCTTCAATCGATTAAATCTTCATTGATTTCATTTTGTTTGTCTACACAAAATAAATATTTCTCGAGGAAAACTTGAGCGATAACATATAATCCCTTAATTTAAATAGATTTTTAATTACTTTAATTCATTATTAAATTAATAAGACATAATTCTTTGTAAAGGAATTTTACTGTTATTACTAAGAGATAATGTTAGCATAATTCGTAAAAATTAACATTTTTTATTTTATTTTCAAATACACTATTGTATTTTTATTTTGTATACATATACACACGCGCGCTCGCACACATTATAATAATATAATATTATAAATAATAAGAATATTCCACTGATAAATAGTCACTAAATAATTAAGTCATATTTAAAATATTCACAAAGTTAAATTAATCCTAATCGTCTCTTTAATTTATGCAAAAATTTCATTAGACATTTTGTTAATTTTTTAAATATTATCGCTTTTTATCATTACTTTTTCTTAAGACTAATAATGTATTTTTTTATTAATATGAAATTTTCAATAAATTTAGATGTTGATCGATCTACGTATTTGATTATTTACCTTTTTCACTCTTAATTATATGCAAAAGATATTATGGTTTTGAATATCAGTAATTGAGCCGAGATAAACTGGTAATATATCAATGTGATTATAATCATTTCACAAATGATAAAAGTATCAGGATCATAGTAAGGCTACAAATAAAGTTTGTGCTTTGTAGATTCATGCGAAAATATATTTGTTAAGGTGTAAAAAATTAAGCATTTGAATTATAAATTTTTCAATGAATGAAAACAGTATAAAAAAAAACATAGTTCAAATTACAAATAGATTAATTTATTCAAATTATATAATTAATTCAAATAGATTAATTTATAATCATCCCTATTATTTTCAATAAATAATGCAATGAGTCAATAGAAGTAAGATTGTAATTTAAAATAAACGTTATTATTAAGTGTCACAAAGAGATTATTTAAAATTAAATTAAATTAAATGACATAATCAATTTTGACATGATTTCTCTTCGATTACAAAAATTATTTTTAATTTTTATTAATTTATTAAATAACTTTGTAATCGATAAAATATTAAATTATTTTAACGTTTAAAAATATTTTAACCTGAGTTCTAAATTATCGATGCGATATGCAATTATAATAGAAATTAAATCTAAAGACTAAGATTTTTATACTTTCATTTTGTTTATAACTAAGCAATAATACCGATTATTATTATTATTATTATCATTATTATTATTATTATTATTATTATTAGTGTTATTTATTATATAATTTCCATTCAATTTTCAATAATACAAAAACATGTCGGCTACATTATTTCTGAATCCAATTTTTTATCCGAGCGATACATTAAATAAGCAAGCAAATGTTGAATTCACAGAATTATTATCATTTTTAAAGTGATAAAAATTTATAATTATTATTTATATCCTTTTTCATGATTCTAGTATTAAATTATGACTGCTGGGCGTAGCAATTTTTCCTATAATTCGGATGAATTATATGGAAACGAAGAAAAAAAAAAGAATTGAATAAAATGCTCACTTTACCAATTTCACCATAAAAGTACATTGCTTTTTTATGGCAAAAAATTTCCTCACTCCATCTCTCTTATTTCGTTTAGTATTACCACTACAAGTGCGAAGCACGAATTTTAAAAAGTATGCACATTGACTATAAGGTCGGTAGCGGCATAACATACGCGCGTCACGTGATATATACTATTGCTCCTCGAACGAAAATGAAATGATGCAATTTGAGTGTGGTTCACTCACTCTCTCTCTCTCTCTCTCTCTCTCTCTCTCTCTCTCTCTCTGTAAATATACACTAGAATTCACCTCCATTCTTTACATTTCGTATGAACATTAATTTAACGGAACGGATTCTCTTTTACGAGTCGAGGTGTGTATTTCAAAAGCTACCATTCCCACAAGCAACATTGGATCAAATGACAAGGATAATCTCAATAATAGTTTGCTTCTTTACCTCTTTTACTCATTTTCGCAAAATTTAACATATTTTGTTTTATAATGTTGAGCGATTATTTGATGAAGATTCATTAAAATAGTTGTCGATTTTGAAGTTTAAAAGTACTTTCACATAAAGTTTTATCGAACAGTTAAACATTCTCTTCGACGGGTGTATAATCCAATCGCATGTGTTTGTTTATTAAGTTATCCCTTTGCGAATAGACAAAATTCCTGAACTCAGTAAGCAATAATTTATATTTTTGTTGTAAAAATTTACCGATATTTTTTTATACTATCATTACAATTGAATCAGATAGTTGATAAATTTCAATTATAAATCATAAAATTTAATATAATCGTAATAATACCTGTTTTATAATTACGTTGTTAAAAAATATTTTA